CAATTACAATTTGGGCTAACTATGTTATGTTAGAGTTTAGTTTTTAGGGTTTAGAATTTATTAGGATCAAAATATATTTTAAAGTTTATAATTTTAACATTCAAAGTTTACAAATTTTTTAATTTATGGCATTTTTGAGATTTCTCTTTAACACTACCTAATAAGAAAAAGCTTTTAAAAACTACATATTAGCAAATCACAGTTTTAAAAATATTTATTTTAACAATTTTCTTCAAAATATTTAAGAATATGCAATTTTGTTTATGTCAACTACGTAGATTCTTTTAGGAGTAAAACTCTAGTGATCAACTCGAACAATGATATAATGATTGATACTAATACAAACCATTAAACTACATATCTTCATATCTTGGTTCAATACGATTTTATCTAAGAATATAATAAAATCAGTGGAAAGTAAACAACTAAGAACATCTCTATCACTGAGTAACTCTTCAAATATCTCTCACATACATTATTTCAATAATATAAATATCTTTTAGTTATCTGTTTAAGTTTAAAAATAAATAAACTTAACCAATCATCTATAAACAACTATTAAATGGGTATCTATAATGTTTTTCATTTTATCTCTTACTTTTTTCCATTTTAACTGCTGAAAAATGTATGGAATGCTCTAAAATAACTTCCTTTATCACTTGTACACTATCATTTTTATTTTATGCTTTTAGTAGTCTACTTTCTTACATAGAATCACTCTATATTGATTTTTGGTTGATAAATAGTAATCTTAAGAAATGATATTTTACCTATTATAGTGTTAACATTATTTAGTTGCCAAATCTTTGTTTGATTTATATATTGTGATAACTTTGTTTCATTACATTACTTTTCCTTTTTTTATAATGCTTCATTACATGTACTATACGATAAAAAGCCAGCTGAAATCTAAAATATATGAAAACAGAAAGAAGCGAGACTTAGAACATCTCCAATAGAGAATTTTTAACGTGGTTTCTAACCATATAAAAAACAAAAAATAATCAAAAAGTAAGAGAGAGAATAGTATCTAAGTCTAGAACTGATTCACAAATGTTTTAGCCACATGTTCCTATATAAATGGTTGAGAGCTTTTATAATTATTTAATATTTAAATAAATAACAAAATAAAATGAAAATTATTAAATGAATATATTTGAGAGACCATGGAGTATCTTACTGTTGATGATGCTCTTATTTATCCAAACATATATCAC